GGAGATGGGCAGTGTGTGTTTTTCCCTGGGGAGCTCCCCATGCTTGCACCCCTCTCTGTGCAGGAACCCCCTCTCCCAGGGGGCTGGGTCCCTTTTGGTCCCCTCCCTTGGGCACTGGGCTGAGCAGGGCTGGCTGCAACCATGCCCCTGGCCTCGCCAGGGCTGCAGGCAGCTGTTGCACGCTGTGGGGCAACCTGGGGCATCCAACAACCCCTGTTCTTGCTGCAAACTGTGGTGGGAAGAGCTGCCTGTCCCCCCCTCACCTCCCCCTGGCTTCCCTCGACAGCCCAGCCCAGAAACTGGTCTTCAACAGAGTGAATGGCAAGAGGCCACAGGTGCTGCCGCAGCAGGTCTTGGCCCCTGAGGAGTGCTACACGCTGGCCCACGAGGAGAACGTCCGCTTTGTCTACGAAGGTGAGGGTGGAGGGTCCCTGGGGGCAGGCACCCACTCACCGTCACATCCCTGAAGGCTGCGGGGTTCCTCCTGAGGCAGCCGCATCATGCTGGGCACCTCGGTGGCAGGGATGGGGTCCCTAGCCTAGGCAGCTGCCCTTGCTTGCAGCAGCTCTGGCTCCTCTCCCACAGCCCCCCAGGGCTGGGAAATCCCCCTCCCCAAACCATCCACTGTCTGTTTTCCCCCCTCCCTGCCCACCAGCCTGGCAGCAGGTAGAGCAGCAGCTGGACGGCACCCGGAGCAGCGAGAGCGCCTGCGGCCCCGTGCAGTACATAGAGAAAACCCCCAACCCCGGACTGAAAAGTAAGTGGGAAGCAGTCAGGGTGCTCAGGGGTGCAGTGAGCTGGTGTGGGCTCAGCTGAGCACCAGAGCAGGGCTGCCATGGGAGGAGGAGGATCCTGGTGCTGGATGTGCTGGAGGAGGGGCTGGGTGGGGGGGTCTGTCCTGCTGCTGCTGAGGGTGCTGGGGGACAGGGAGGAGGATCCTGGTGCTGGATGTGCTGGCGGAGGGGCTGGGTGGGGGGGTCTGTCCTGCTGGTGCTGAGGGTGCGGGGGGACAGCTGGCCCTGGCACCAGGGTGGGGATGTCCCACTGTGCCCAGTCACAGGAGCCCAAGCAAGCAGGATGCCTGGTTGATGACTCTTCTGGAGACCATGCCTTCTCCAGCCACCGAGGTGGGTTCAACATCATGCTGGAGAGGAGCCCCCCTGGGTCCCGCCATGGGGACCTGCATCTCCTGGGGCCGAGCAGGACCAAGCTGGAGCGCAGTGGGGACAGGGACAGCGTGCTTCTCTGATGGCAGATGGAGCAAGGGCTGCGAGGCAGCCTGGGGGCTCCGGGAGCGG